GATAATATCTTTTCATTATCGTATCACTTTCTGATAGAAAAAATACAGTTGGAAATATTTATAATATTATATATATTTTGCAAAATATGTTCAAGAATTTTTTATTTATTTTGTTTTTAATCCGTGTTACATAATATTTTGAATATTAATATTTGATATTAGATTTAAAAAATTGTTTATATAAAATTCTATTACAACTTTTGTTTTTTATATATATAATATTTTCATCTCTTATATGTGTAACGTCTAGTTAAACGTTAATTTCTTTTTCAATACATGTATTTAACACTTATTATTATTTCCTGTTATTTATCTCTTTGTAATTTAAAAATTAGCGTTTAAAATTAACTTTAATCGATGAGAAATCACGTAAGTTAATTTTATGGATCATTGACCGGATTCTGGCTTGAGAAGTGTTTCTTATCATATTTACTTTTCCTCGCACCCAAGTGTTGCTGTCATCGCGATTAAACGCCATTGCATTGCGAAGATGCAAGATGGGCAAGATGCTGGCTACGTTATTTACTCGGGTGGTTCTGCAAGACGTGAATATCTCACACAAGTTTGTGATTTCTTATCGACTTACTGGAACGATTTGCACACCTTTTAACCTAGTTATCACTATTACTACTATCTAATACACTGAACGTACAGTAGATGTCGATAGATATCAATAGACGTCAATCCAACCATATAGAGATTATCTTGGAAGTTGTAGAAAATAGACAATTTTTTTTAAATATAAATTTTTGAAATTAATTTTTTAATTTGTCAATGTGAATGTTGCGATTTTAATATGAATAATGCTAATAATTGACAAGTTAGATAATAGTTATTAAAAGTAATTGATTTTTTTCAAAATTATTCTAATTTTTAAAACATCAAATAATAATATAATCATTTATCATTTGATTAGAATTTTAATTTAAAATCACACTGAGAAGCTGAAGAAAACATTCGTCAACAGGCGTCCGGAGAAATAAGATTCATATCAGTATCTAATTACATGAAAAATCAAAAGATTACCGACAAACGTATAATTTTCTTCGAATTTGAATCTCTCTTTCCTGCATTCGTATGTAATCGAGATGCGGATTTTCGATTCTTACAATGATTTATTTGGTTTTGTCTACGCGGCTTCGGGTTACGGCTTTAAATCAACGATCATAAAACTAAAATCGCATAGCTAAAAAAATTCAAGTTCAATCTCTGCATATTTATCGGGACAACTTTAATTAGGAGCATAGCTCTCTTCATGATCAGAAATGCATCAATTGAGTGCAGTTTGCCACCTCAGAAAATCAATAATGATAGGATCTCGCATAGCTGTGTTATTATGAGCATGCGATTAGTATCCACGGATAAGACACTTAAAGCGTACAAGACTTATGATTTCTTAAAAAAAAAAAAATTGCATATATGATCGCTTAGCTGTCTTAAGATAGCTATAAGGGACTATAAAGAATGCAAGAACATAGCAAGAATGCAAGTACATGTTAATGAATGTCTTAAGGAGAGATTTAATGTAATCAGAACATGCTGAATTTTGCGAGGAAAGCAATGTCGTAAAATAACAATAATGTTGATACTGCGATAAATCGTAATCGCTGTTCATCAAGCGATTAATGAGATAAAATTATTAGGTATAGAAATAATGGTTATGACGAAATGATACATCCAATATGTATAATTCTCTAATAATATTTTTGGGAGATCAACTTACAAGCTCAATTAACATTAATGCGATCGATTAAATAGGTATAAATTAAAAAAAATTATCTGGGATAAACAAGATTGCGTGCCACGTTCTAACATTATAGTTTCACTTAGCATGTCAAAAGGATCATTAAGAGGATTGTGGCAATGGGAGCACGCGATTACAAAATGTTGAACTTGTATAGAATTATAAGAAAAGTAATAAAAATGTGGTACAAGAGTAGTTAATAACAAGGTAGCATACAGAATTAAAGTAACTCTCACGCTATCTCGAAGTATATGCTTCGTTTTGCGATCGTGGCACGTAATACATAATAATCATCGATTGAGAAGTAATTATAATATCTTAATTATACATAGATAGTTTCACACTTTGAAAGAAATCACAATTGACATTAATACATTATTGCGTTTTGTGTGTGTGTGTGTGTGTGTGTGTGTGTGTGTGTGTGTGTGTGTGTGTGTGTGTGTGTGTGTGTGTGTATAGTTCCATTAGTTCTTCCGTCCCTATCAACAATAATGGTATAAATAGCGTTCGACATAATGCTGACAGGTTTAATATTTCACTGATTACGTATCCCCCTTACACCTGCAGGATATGAGCGAAGAAAGGTCGACCTAGTATCTATCTAACGCAATCGTTAGATAAAGTTGAAATACGTTCAATGGAAAGATCGAATGTACGGGAACCGGATATTTCGCTTCGAAACTCGACGCCATGATATGTCAAGAATTGGCCTTGCCCGTACCATTGCCGAACTTCCGTTACAAATTTTACTTTTTTACCTCCCCGGCTAAAGTAATTGGCTCCTGCCTGCCTGCCTGCCTGCCTGCCTGCCTGCCTCTCTCTCTCTCTC